ATAGAAACAGAAGAGTCATTGCCAAATTCCTTTTATGAAGCTATAGTTACCCTGATACCAAAACCACACAAAGACCCAACCAAGAAAGAGAATTACAGACCTATCTCACTCATGAACATCGACGCAAAAATTCTCAATAAAATACTGGCAAACTGAATCCAAGAACACATTAGAAAAATTATCCATTATGATCAAGTAGGCTTCATCCCAGAGATGCAGGGCTGGTTCAACATATGCAAATCTATCAATGTAATCCACCATAAAAATAAACTGAAAGAAAAAAACCATATGATCATTTCATTAGATGCTGAAAAATCATTCGACAAAATTCAACACCCCTTTATGATAAAGGTCTTGGAGAGAATAGGGTACAAGGGTCCTACCTAAATATAATAAAAGCTATTTACAGCAAGCCGACAGCTAACATTAAATTAAACGGAGAAAAACTCAAAGCCATCCCACTAAAATCAGGAACACGACAAGGATGTCCACTTTCTCTATACCTCTTCAATATAGTGCTTGAAGTTCTAGCAATAGCAATAAAGACAACATAAGGAAATCAAGGGGATTCGTATTGGAAAGGAAGAAGTTAAGCTTTCGTTATTTGCAGATGATATGATAGTATACATAAGCGACCCCCAAAACTCCACCAAAGAACTTTTACAGCTGATAAACACCTTTAGTAATGTGGCAGGATACAAGATCAACTCCAAAAAATCAGTCGCCCTCTTATACACAAAGGATATGGAAGCAGAGAGGGAAATCAGAGAAGCTTCACCTTTCACGATTGCCACAAATAGCATAAAATATCTTGGGGGAACTCTAACCAAGGAAGTGAAAGATCTATTTGACAAGAACTATATGTCTTTGAAGAAAGAAATCGAAAAAGACACCAGAAAATGGAAGGACCTCCCTTGCTCTTGGATTGGGAGGATCAACATAGTAAAAATGGCAATTCTACCCAAGGCAATTTATAGATTCAATGCAATCCCCATCAAAATACCATCAAAATTCTTCACAGATCTGGAGAAGACAATAATCAACTTTATATGGAAAAACAAAAAACCCAGGATAGCCAAAAAAATCTTATACAATAAAGGATTGTCTGGAGGCATTACCATCCCTGACTTCAAACTCTATTACAGAGCTACAGTATGGAAAACAGCTTGGTATTGGCAAAAAAAACAGAGAAGTCGACCAATGGAATCGAATAGAAGACCCTGACTTTAACCCACAAACCTATGAACACCTGATTTTCGACAAAGGAACTAAAAGTATACAATGGAAAAAAGAGAGCATCTTCAACAAATTGTGCTGGAAAAACTGGATGTCAATCTGTAGAAGAATGAAAATAGATCCATATCTATCACCATGCACAAAACTCAAGTCCAAATGGATTAAAGACCTCAATATCAGTCCGAACACACTGAACCTGATAGAAGAGAAAGTGGGAAGTACTCTACAGCACATGGGCACAGGAGACCACTTCCTACGTATAACCCCAGCAGCACAGACACTAAGGGCATCATTGAATAAATGGGACCTCCTGAGACTGAGAAGCTTCTGTAAAGCAAAGTACACTGTCTCTAAGACAAAAAGGCAACCCACTTACTGGGAGAAGATTTTCACCAACCCCGCAACTGACAAGGGTCTGATCTCCAAAATATATAAAGAACTCAAGAAACTAGACCGTAAAAGGCTAATCAACCCAATTATAAAATGGGGCATTGAGCTGAACAGAGAATTCTCAACAGAAGAACTTCAAATGGCCAAAAGACACTTAAGGTCATGCTCAACTTCCTTAGCGATCAGGGAAATGCAAATCAAGACAACTTTCAGATACCATCTTACACCTGTCAGAATGGCTAAAATAAAAAACACCAATGATAGCCTTTGCTGGAGAGGTAGTGGAGAAAGGGGTATACTCATCCATTGCTGGTGGGAATGCAAACTTGTGCAACCACTTTGGAAAGCAGTGTTTCGGTTTCTCAGGAAATTCGGGATCAACCTACCCCTGGATCCAGCAATACCACTCTTGGGAATATACCCAAGAGAGGCCCTATCATACAACAAAAGTATATGCTCAACTATGTTCATGGCAGCATTGTTTGTAATAGCCAGAACCTGGAAACAACCTAGATGCCCTTCAACGGAAGAATGGATGAAGAAAGTATGGAATATATACATATTAGAGTATTACTCAGCAGTAAAAAACAAGGACTTCTTGAATTTTGCATACAAATGGATGGAAATAGAAAACACTATCCTGAGTGAGGTAAGCCAAACCCAAAAAGAGGAACATGGGATGTACTCACTCATATTTGGTTTCTAGCCACAAATAAAGGACATTGAGCTTATAATTCATGTGCCTAGAGAAGCTAAATAAGAAGGTGATCCAAAGACAAACACATAGGTATCCTCATGAATATTAACCTTCATCAGGCGATGAAAGGAGACAGAGACAGAGACCCACATGGGAGCACCGGACAGAAATCTCAAGGTCCAAATCAGGAGCAGAAGGAGACGGAGCACGAGCAAGGAACTCAGGACCATGAGGGGTGCTCCCACACACTGAGACAATGGAGATGTTCTATCAGGAACTCACCAAGGCCAGCTGGCCTAGGTCTGAAAAAGCATGGGATAAATCCCGACAAGCTGAACATAGCGGACAATGAGGAATACTGAGAACTCAAGAACAAACGCAGTGGGTTTTTGATCCTACTGCACGTACTGGCTTTGGGGGAGCCTAGGCAGTTTGGATGCTCACCTTAGGAGACCTGGATAGAGGTGGGCGGTCCTTGGGCTTCCCACAGGTCAGGGAACCCTGATTGCTCTTTGAGCAGATGAGGGAGGGGGAGGGAAATGGGAAGCGGTTGTGGGGAGGAGGCAGAAATCCTTAATAAATAAATAAATAAAAAATAAAAAAGGAGGAAGGAAAAAGGAGGAAGAAAGAAGAGAGATGAAGAGAAAGGGAAAAGATATCAGATAATATACCAATGAGACAAATTTATCTATTTAATACTAAATAAATATGGGTAAAGGACATCTAAATGTTAATGAGTAATGTCAGCAACTTCTCTTTAAGTAAGAAACAATGTACAAACAAAAAATGAGACATATGTGTCTAAGAATTTCTAGACATATTTCTAAAATATCTCCAATGATGTCTTAATATACTACCTTTCTGTCAGCAAATCTGAGGGCTGAATGCATGTGAAAAAGAGAGAAGGGAGAAGCCAAATTATCATTTAGTTTCCTTTATACAACTCAAGGGATTCATTAAGAATATGGACATAGTGGTCTGTAGAGATGGCTCAATGGTTAAGAATACTGGCTGTTCTTCCAGAGAACCCAGGTTCAATTCCCAGCACTCACATGGCAGCTCATAACTGTTGATAATTCCAGTTCCAGGGGATCTGACAAATTTACACCAATGCACATAAAGTAGTTTGGTTTTTTTTTTTTCTAAAAAAAAAGTCAATGAAGGCATTTTTAAAGATTTTTTTAAATGGACATAAAGAATACTGCATTCTCTGAATTAGTTTAAGGTCTAAACGCCATCATTAAAATGAAAGGTGAACTAAGAATATAGTGTGGTACATGAATTACAGAACAGTCTGGCAGGTTTTTGACTGAAATGATCAAAACAAGAATTTGATCTGTGCTTTACAGTGCAATTTCCATAAGTATAAAGACACTTTCTGGGATAAGAGGAACCACAGACACAGACTTATAAATTATGCCATCTCATCAGCAATGTAACTTCCAAATTTAAACAGAAGTGATATTCTGACAGTCATTAAATATTTCAAAGCAAATATTTCTTAGTTTGATCCTGCTACCTAAAGCCTTGAAATGTCAATATGGCTTCCCACAAAGACATGACAAAGAAAAATATGCTGAAATGCAGATAACTTATATTTGCTGTAGGAATGCAGACAATAAGTATTTTGTTCTACATGAACTTTTGACTTTCCACTATAAAAGAATAATAATGTAAGTTTGCTTCATGATAGGTAACTTGTCTCCTTTGTATTGAAAATCCAGATATTGTCCCCAGAAAATTCAGATTTTTAAGAAATATATTGTGACTGCAAGTACTGATTTGTGAGGCCATTTCTAAAAGCATCTTTTCCTCTCACTGGGGATACTTTTCTACATAAGGCAAAAAGTGTAGTAACTAACATAAATTGGCTCACCAACAAAAACCAAGCTCTGTGAAGTTTCTGTATTATCAAATAAGAACCAAAACAAACCAGCAAGTTACTACCAGCATAGCACCAAGGAAACCCCTACATTTTTATGACTCCCTTTACAGGACTTGGTTTTATAAGACTCTATCTTCTACCAATTCAAAGAAACCCTTTTGAACACCAAAGCAGAAGTTACTGGTGTGTATCAGGAAGCACTAAGGGGATGGAACTTTCTATGCCAACTAGGGTGGAGGTTATATAGACTGATATCTAGCCCCCACCCTCAAATGCCAGTGTGATGGCTCACACTCAGAATATGACCCCTGCTCATACGTCATAAAGTTCCATAAATTGCCCAACACTTTGTCATATATATTTCTGCTTAGAGAAATTAGTGTAGTTTCCTGAAACTAGGAACTTAATCACTACTCTTATAGAGGAGGGACTGTAAATGTTTCTCGAGTTTGCATGTGGATTTCAGAGAGTAACAATGATGTGAAACACTGTGATAACAACCGTTGTGTCCTGTGAAAGATCCCCTGAAGACAGATATGCAGGAGAACGATAACAGTTTACCACAAAAGAAACCAATTCATAGACACAATAATTCAAATACGGTCACTATTTTAGTGAGGACAGTTAACCTGCCAACTTCTATTTTATTGTTCCTTCTCCAACATTAAACACACACTATCCTCAAGCTTTTTAGAGAGCATGAAATTTTCAATTTTAACAAAAACAAATATGAAACTTCAAAGATTCTGCAATGCCATCTGTCCCCATCCTTGGATAGGGTAGTTCCTTTACCTGGAGATTGATCTCTGCCTCGTAGAAGGTTAGGCATGAGCAGTAATGTCGATCTGAGTCGATGTCCGTTAGGACCACCACAAAGAATGTTGGCTGTTTCCGCTCTCTGGACAGATGCCATCCACCAGGCTGACAAAACTAAAAAAAAAAAAAAAAAAAACAAAGAAGGGGATCATATTTTAAAATGAAAACAAAAATATCATTTTAATATATAAAAATATTAAACATAACATTGTCATTAAAGCTATATAATTGAGGGGCTATGGAAATGGTTCACAGGGTAAATAGTGCTTGTTTCATACACACGAGGACCGGAGCTTGAGCCCTAGTTCTCATATAAAAAAGCTAAGGGTAATCATGTGCCTGACATCTCAACATTAGAAAGGGGACAGGAGAAGGATCCTAGGAGTTCCCTGATCAGCCAGACTAACCAACTGGTGTGCTCCTGATTCAGTGAGAGACTGTGATTAAAAAAAAAAAAGTTAGAAATCAATAAAGGTACATGCTGTTGACCTCTGGCTTTCATAATGCAGGTATGCATGTGCATATATACACATGTATCACACACACAAATTTATCTATTTGATATGGTATGCTACACCAGCTAATATAAATGAAATTCATGTACAGCTTCATAGCTTTGAAAACATTCATCAAATTTTCCCATAGAAACCATTCTGAGATGCTAATCTACTTTTGGCATATGTAGTAACATAGCACCAAAATGAGAAACTCTTCCTCCAAATATTAGAATAAATCACGGTACAAGGTGGAGAGGAAGTGCAACAAGGGAGATTGTTTGCTAGGAGGAAGGCAACCAGCAAGAGGAGTGCAAAGGAAAGAGAAATGACAGTAAGGGACGAATAAAGATAAACTAATGATGGGTGTGTGTGAAACACCACTTCCTTGTATGCTAACCAATAATTTTTAAAGTCAATGAGGGATTGCAGAGATGGCTCCGTGACTGACTGCTTGCTGTTTAACCAGACCACCAAAATTCAGAGCCCAGCACCCTTGTAACAAGTCAATTATGGCTCCCATGTTCCTGTAACCCCAGCACTGCTTAAAGGAGAGGTAAGAGGAATTACTGAGGCTTGGTAGCAAAAAACACAGGTTCCAGATTCAGGAAAAGACCTTGCCTCAAAGGAATATCACAAAGAATGATAGAGGGGTATATTCCACACCCTCCTCTAGTCTCCGCACCCACCACAACTTACATGTTCACGCGTACAAGTGCACACATACACCTTAATGCATATATCACACACACATTAAAAACAATAAAATGGATTCATTAAAAATCATTGTAAATTCTAACATGTGAGCAAATTATATGAATAATACTCTTTTGTAGTTCTTACAATTGATGAGCACATAGAACACTGAGCCAAAAAAAAAAAAAATCCTGAGAATCTCAGTTTTATGGCAAATGGATGTTAGCATGTTACTAACCTTAGCTTCTACTACAGAGTAGGAGAAAGGTATACCTGTGGGACAACCAGGAAGTTTATTCAGATTACAACAAGCTCAGAAGTGTCTTTCAAAATTCAGTTACTCACTTTCAATTTTTGATATATTATTAAATTTTTTATTCTTTGATAGTTTCATAAACGTATATGCTGAATTTTAGTCACTTTCATACATATAAACATTACTCTCTCCCTCTAAAATCCTCCTTTCTAACAGCCTCATCTTCTGACTCAGAATCGGACCTGAGGTGCTGGTATTGATTGACAATAATAAAGTTGCACATTTCCTATCACCAGGTCTACTGTTACCACTTGTTGGACAACTACTCCTGTGACATAAAGCAAATCATATATTCTCATGGGGTATACTACATGTCTATCTGGAGATCATTGGGTTTGGAAAAGCTGCATAACCCAGGAGAAATGCTATTGTTTTCACTGAATTTTAAATGAAACTGAGGTTTCAAAAGGGAAAAACTGTATTTTAGTTCTAACTTTATCAAATAAAACTTTTCACTTATAAAACTGAAGTTACCTGTCATAGAAGAGTTCACAAATAATAAAATACCCTCTTAGAGCAAATGACCTATTAGATAAGTGCTTAGATATTTTTTACTACCTAAAACTAGAAAAAGCGTATGTGTCCAGCTTTCTCAATTTTTTATGCATACAGAGAATATAAAAATTTAACAGAATGACAAGGTTCATAGTTTATTTGAACTAAACTGAATGATCTTTCAAAGATAGCATACTAAGATCTTTGGGTAATGGTCACACTTAGCATCTCTGGTAAGAAGCCTTCATCCACATCTGTAAAACCATACTTTACTGACTTGTAGTAATAGAGGGGTGTATGCCATCATTAAACTCAAACATTTAACTTGCCCCCTTTTAAAAGTCTACAAGAGGCTAGAGAGATGGCTCAGCAGTTATGAGCACTGTTTGCTCTTCCAGAGGACCTGGGTTTAATTCCCAGCAACCATATGGCAGCTAACAGTCTGTAACTGCAAGATCTGATACCCTCACACAGACATATAAGCAGGCAAAACACCAATGCAAATAAAATAAAAATAAATAATTTTTTAAAACGAAATGAAAAAGCTGGGCAGTGTTGGTGCATGTCTTTAATCCAGTACTTGGTAAATGGATCTCTGTGAGTTTGAGGCCAGCCTGGTCTATAAGAGTAAGTTCCAGGACAGCCAAAACTATACAGAGAAACCTATCTCGAAAAAACCAAAAACAAAACAAAGCAAAATAGGAAACATTCAAAGCGATACGATTGTAAGACTTCCTTAACAGCCCCGTTTCCCTAGTTTACAACAGGAATGGTGGGATTAAAGGCACTAACCTCAAAATTTGGGAAAATTCCAAGGATCGTTTTTCAATCAGGTAAGTATTTCTTAATAACTGTATTTAATGTAACCAGAGTTAAGAAAACAACGTCATTTTATGGTTAGCTTGGTCAGATAGCTTTACTAAGCTTTTCACTAAAAGTTTGCCAATAGTTACCTATACGCTGGTTAGATGTGAGATCCCATATCGCAAATATAAAATTAGAACACACACAGGAATTATCTCAAAGTATGTATTAGAAAATAACATCAGACTCAAACTTTACAGGAAAATATGAATCTATATTCTCTCATGAAACACATGAGTATGAAAATATCCAATTAATAAAATTCATACAACTAAGTGTATAAAAACTGATGTTTCAAAGCATGAAAACAAACGGCTTTAAGCTATGATTACAAATGCACATTTACTGTATCAAAGAAAAGCAGTAACAGGATTTGGGGATTAGGATATGACCCTAATATGTAATGAGAAGTTATTTCCCTTAGGATCTAGATTTGAAAAACAATAATGCTAATTGGCTTAGTCATTTCAATTCTTCACAAAGTCTGCTGATGAACTAATAAACAAGGAGAGAGTAGACATTACAAGTCTTAAACCTAGGCTCCAGTCACATTTCTGACAGGAATGTGAGAGAATATTTAGACAGCTGGGAACAGGATAGTCACTAAAAGACAATGAAAAGAATGATAAGCATTAAACAAATAGAAGAAATTCAGGGTTTATGTCCCCTAGTGTCTTTACTGGCAAACAGGAGAAACAATTGCTATCACAGGTGCAAACTTAAAATGCTTAGAACTGACAGACAACATTGAGACTTATGTTTTAGCACCTTCAAATAACTGAGAAAACATACATGTCTAGAACTACATTACCAATGAACGTACCACATAAACTGACAAAAACACTGCTTTTGTCACAGATATACACAGGTCTTACCATCTCCTTTCTGACTTGACCTCACCACTTCACACAAATCAGACTCATGAATATGTTATACTATATCTGGGAATACCTAAGCAGGAGATTCCTTATTAATCTAAAGTTTCTTTAAGACCTTGGCATAGCTTGGCAACTGGTACTCAAGGGTGCAAGTTAGGAGTGCTCAGTGGTCAGTACCCCGGGAATCTGCATGATGCATTACAAACACTAACTCTGTTCCATTACCCAAACATTAGAAGTAGATCATGTTCAGTAAAACAGTTCAACTCTCTACAAACTAAAGTATAAATACAGAAGACCTCCTATTTTGCATAAAAAAGGACCTGAAGATGGGAGTAGGATATTACAGGGAGCTCCAGAGGGAGTGGGGTAGTCACTTTGGTGCCATAATATGCATGTATGTAAATTAAAGCCAATCTTTTTTGCTGGTTTTCATTTTGTTTAAAGCTTATAAACAATTAAATTATTAATGTGATAATTTAATGGTGGCTAATGTATTAAAGAGCTATTAAAATAAGGAGTTGAAAACATAGATTTCATATTTGCAAAATCACTGTCTAATCATAACTCATAAACCTAAGTTTACAATGAAATTAAGGCTATGGGATGCTAAGGTCATAGGGCCAGTTTGTGATAGCATAGGAGCTAGCGGTCAACTCTACAGTCTTCAGGAACTGTATCCTTTTACTGATGGATTACTACAAATCCTTTAGAGAAATCATTTTATGATCATATAAATTCATATCAAGAAGTAAACATTGCAACATACCACATTTGTAGCCGCTTATCCTTGACAGAGTTTGTGCATGTGTTCTCGTTCTCTCTCTCTCTCTCTCTCTCTCTCTCTCTCTCTCTCTTTCTCTCCTCTCTCTCTCTCTCTCTCTCTCTCTCGACCTGTCATATACACAGCTATCAACCCCCTTTTTCTTTACTTTCAGTAACATGTACATGTTCCTGTGTACTTCTCAGTATTTATCACACAAAGCCTTGCTCTAGAGCTCATCTGACGTCTAACTTGCAACCCTCCCATACTGAGATTACAAGCATGCACCACTGAGCTCAGCAACACAACTATTTTTAATAACCATAATGCTGATGCAAGTATACATATTTAACCCACTCCCTATTGCTGATATTTAGGTTTACCTTTTTATTATAACTAATTCTAAAATACATACTGTATTAGAAATCTTTGTAGCTATTTCTCAGTATTATCTAACACAGTATGTATAATCAAGCACAGAAACGTTTAATTACTCTTGAGTTTCTTTTATAAGGCTGTGCAACTCCAAGAATATCTTTGTTTTGTGGCACATTTCTAATGAAAATTTTACAAGTGGTTTTTCTTAAAAAGAACTATGATTATAAGGC